GCCATCGTATTTTGGCCCACACACAAAATAAAAAGGAGAGGAAAAAAAAAAAAAGTTGTGATGTTGAAGAAGGCCATGGGCACTCTGTGGCTTCAGGGCACCCAGGCAGTGGCTGAGCTCGGTGTACCCCACAGCAGGTCAAGGGGTCAAGGGAAAAGGCAATGAAAGGAGAAGACTTTGGGGCCCCCTTTTGCAAGAAACTGAAATATGTTTGAGGTTTGGGGTTGGTTTGCTTTGCTCTTTTTCCACATTCCTCCTGGAGTGAGGAGGAGAGACTAGTACGTCAAGTAGTCTCTGCTGGTACACTCTCTCTGTAAAGGTTAAAGATACTGCCCCAAGGGTGTTAGCAGCCTCCCTTCTTCTCTTTGCACATGGAAACATGGAAGTGCTACAGAGAGAGCCACCAGACCAGCATCACCTCTACACCAAGCCGCCAGCTGAGCCCAGCGCTTTGGCCTAATGGGTAGGCACGTGTCTGAGCCCCTCGGCTCGCTCGGGACTCATGCCCAGCCTCCAGTAAGCTGGCAAACCGAGGGCTTGTTCTTTTTTTTTCCCTCATACAGCAGCTTATGTTGCCAGTAACAACTTCAAGCAGTCATGGCGGGAGGAGGAAGAGGCAAATTGTCACCTTGCTACATGTGTGGGCTGCCTCTGCCCATCCCTGATCCGAGCCGTTGTACCACGCTGGAAGCTTTGCACAGCAAGCTGTTAAACATAGCCCTAAGGTAAAAAAAAATCACCATAAGAAAGTTTCCGATTGTCCTGCCTGGTTGTCATTGGTACAGCTGGGAAGAAGAACACGGTAATACTGTAAGTGTCCACAGGCATCTCACCAACACAGCCGGAGCGTGGTTCCTGTGCCAGAGGGAGCAGAGTTCCTACAAACCCAAACTGCACGTGATCGTCATGCCTTGGACATGCAGCTGACAGGGGAGGGGGGATAGAGACTCTTTAATTACACGCATTCAAAAGTCAAGCACAAAACATGTGGACCGACCCAGTGTAAGTTTGTCCTATTTAGGAGGTTTGGTACAAAAATACTTGCTCTTCTTTTGTCTTTTTTTCTTCTTTGTAGTCTGCTTTCCTATGGTTCAGTTTGAAAAGTCTTTTCCAATGCTACAGCAATGCCTGTCAAACCATGCGTTCAGAAGTAACACACTTTCTTACAAATATACAGTGTAAAAGAGGAAAATATTATTACTAGGTATGCTTTTCTTTTTTCTTTGAGGAGAGCAGATGTGTGATAGAGGCTGTGGGAAAGTCTTGGAGGAATCCAAACTTGTGTGAGGTTTTTGGTTTTTTTTTTTTCAAGCCTGTAAAAACAGAGAGGTGTTAAAAAAAAAAAAAAAAAAAAAGCCAAAACACCAACAGCCTCAGCCTTGGGCTGAGGCAAAGCAGCAAAGGGGCTTTAATCTGTCTCCCTTCATGGGGAAGCTCCCATGCTGCAGCCTAGGGGAGCCTTGTTTTGGAAACAGGGTGAGGAAGGGGAAGCAGCTCCAAGGATGGCTATTTAACCAGGAAAGGACAAGCTTGGAAGTGCCTGCAGGGGCAGCGGGGGCTGTTGGCATCCCAGGATTGGTGGCTGGGCAGAGGGGTAAGGACCCCACTGGTCCCAGTTCACTCCTCCCGCTGGCTCTAAGCTTTTAATTTGAGAAGGCACCAGCTGGGAAGCTGAGAGTTAAGTCTGAGTTGAATTTTGCACTTAAGAGGAATTCAGCCTGTGTTGATCCAAGGCAGGAAGAGCAGACAGCAGCGAGATGAGATTACCGGGGGTAATTCAAAGCCGAGAGGCATTCCTCGGCTGCCGAAACTCTCGCCCCAGATAACACCGGCCAGCGCTGGACCGGCAGAGCCGTGAGGGCCGGGATGGGCCCCCCGCGGCAGGAGCAGCGATGCCACCCTGCAGGGATCGATCCTGGGGACTCGCCTGCCTCTCTGCCCACTTCCTTGGGGGTATCACGTTGGCTTCCTCGCCCCCTCCCCAGAGGTGCCGCGTCCCCCGTGCCGCAGCCTTACCAGCACACTGTGGTTTTGCGGAGAGCACGCCAACCCAGTAGCCGCCTTGGAAGACTCCATTAATACCCACAAGACTGACTGTAGGCCACCATCACACACCTGAGACCTGCCAGCAGATGCAGCAGAGGGTTAGGGACGCTGGCACGGCTGGGTGGCAGCCATGGGCTGATGTTACTGAAGGAAGAGGTTATTTTGTGGTGGCTGGGGCCGGTGCTTCCTAAGAGGGCAGTGTGCAGCTTAACTCTGCCCTGACAGGCTCCACGCAGCAAATCCAGGCAGGGTGCAGGTGGAAGAGAGCCAGGGTGGCAGGAACACCCTTCGCTGGGCTGTGCCGTTGCCCTTCCCGGCTGGAGGAGCCTGACGAGGAGCGGGGAGGTCCCTAACCCTCCATCCTTGCCACCCGTTGTGGCTATCAGGGTTGCTGGGGGTGGGTGCACCCATTCCAAGGGATTTGCTCATCACCCTTTCCCAAATATGGCTCTGCTTACATTTTAGCTGGAAATACTGGCACGTCCCATATTTTGGAAGAACCACTGGTTCCCAAAGCCTCACTGCTCCCTATTTTTATCTGCTGGGCCTAAAATAGCCAGCAAATGCTTTACAGATCCAAGCCTTGGGTCAGCTGCAGGCAGGACTGGTCCTCCTGCCCTCCCCAGGTGAGTGAACCTGGTATCAGGCAGGGCAGTGGCATGGGAGCAGGGGCAGCCAATGCTGGAGGCTCCTCCACGGGTGGGTGCAGCTGTGACACAGGTATTGGCAGCGTGGTAGGGATGGCAGCTGGGATAGTTGGGGCAGGCTGGGATCTTGGGTTAAGCGATGCTCAGCATCAGCCCAGCCGCTATCCCCTCTTCCATTTAATCCCCTTTGTTTATTTATCCACAAAAGGCTGAAGTATTATTTATTAGTTATCTTGCGTTATCTTGCAAGGCTTTTCTCCATCCACAAAGGTCCCGGATGTCTTTGAACCAGCCCCCTCCTTCCTGCCAGGCACCTGGTGTAGCCCCACCACCCTGAGGCTGCCAGGAGCATTTTTATTAAGGTTAATTAGATGTTTGTGTTGCACTGGGAAGCCCTTTTGCCACCTTCATTTGCAGGACCACGCTGTTGCTGCACCCTCCTGGGGCACGCAGCCTGTGCTGCTGGGCCAGCAAGCCACAGACCTGTCTGTCCACCCTGTCCTGGGATGTTTGGGAAAGCATTGGGGTGGATGGTGGCAGAGGTGTCCCCTCCCTGGGGGCAAGGTGGGCAGCCAGACCTACAGTGCCTGCTAGAAAGTGGCATCAATGGGTGTGGCCACCCACTCTGGGCTGATGGACACCTCAAGAGTCAGAGTGAGGGTGGAGGTGAGCCCCAGCCCTCCACGCTGGCACAGGAGGATGGGAGCAGGGAGGTGGCACTCACCCGGCATTCAGCAGAACTGACGGGACTTCCAGCCCTGAGAACCAGCCTCGGAGGGTGGGAGCCAGCGCATCTGCAGAGACAGGAGGAGCACAGGGTGAGAGGGGTGGTGGCCACCCACCCTGGCAAGAGCCAGCTGCCTCTGGGCTCCCCTTTGTCATAATGTTGGCTGGGCCCCCGGCACCGCTGCTTGGGGCAGCACAGAGCCAGGAGTGGCAGCACCACGGTTGCCCCGAGCAGGAGATGGGCTCAGCCCCTCTTAACGCCTGCAAAGCCTGCGTGGGACTGGGGGGCAGGGGTGGGAGGAACGTCAGACACCAAAACTGCCAGTGGGCTCTCGGCGCTCTGATGGGTAGCACTACTGAGGCTATCCATGTCCTGAGGTTCCCCTTCCCACTGCTCTCTGCAGCACCCGTCCAGGGAGGTCACCTTGCAGCAAGCAGCTCTGGTTTGGGTGGTGGGACTCCTCTCCTACACCCCCCACCAAACCCCCAGCATTGCAGCTGCCTGCTTCACCACAGCACCTTGGGACAACGGGGAAGGTGCCACCAGCATCCTCCCTGCCATGCCTGGCTCCGTAACTACGGCAGGTGACACTTGGCCTAACACCAGTTCTCAGCCTGGCTCTCCCTGGGGGGCTCCTTACGCCTCCGTTTCCTTCACCAGCATCCCAAGCAGGGCAGGTGCTGCCTGTTAGCAGATATTTGACAAGGCGAATATAGAGCTGCAATAATATTTACTGCTGCTCTTCCTATGAACAGCAGGGCCCGAAAAGCTGGAGTTTCATCCAAAAGCCGCGGCTGGTTGTACACTGAGCACTTCTCCCTTGCTTAAACTGCTCTCCGGCTGCCTCCGGCTCTCAGCGCTGGTGGCTCTGGACAGCCCAGTTCCAACGTGGTGGGCTGGGGCCAAAGGCCTTTCAGATGTGGCTTATCCAGCAAATCTGCTTCCGTCTGCTCGCCGCCAAGCTGTAGCCAGCGGTAAGGAGCGAAAGTTGGGGTGATGTCCGGCGCGGCTGCTGGGGAGGCAGCTGCCTGTTCCTCCACCACAGCGTGGCTTCAGGACATGTCCCGAAAGCTGGCACTGCAAAGAAATCCTCCACTTCCATTTCCACTTCTTTTCCCAGCTCGTCTCCCAGGGCGGGTGGTTAATTTTTAACAGCCACGTGCTGCCGTCAGCTTCTACCGGCGGAGGCAGCCAGCAGAAAAGCACTTGTGACAAGAGAGTGCCTCGTCAATAAAAGATGGATCCTCCATTTGCACTGGGCTTGCCCTCTCCTCCCTGTCAGAGCCGCTTTGCTTCCCACCCCACAGCCAGCAAGGAGCTGGAGGAGCGGCTGGGGCTCGGGAGCGATGGATGGTCCAGTCCTAGTGAGCATCCCCCATCCCTCCCCCCCACCCCAGCCCTGGCGTGGGTGAGAGCGAAGGTAGGAAGGCAGAGAGAGGTGTTTGGGGAGAGGCAGGCGGATGGTTTGGGTGCTGTCCCTAATCTCGGGGGTGGGGGGAAATGGGTGCCTGTTAGCTGGGCAGAGGTTAGTGGTGCAGCGAGCACCGAGGAGAAGGGGGGGTCCAGGGTGCAGAGTGGTGCTGGTGGTGGGTCCAAATTACCTGGGCGTGCAGCGAAGCGGGATAGGTGAAAGCAGGAGGAGGTAGAGCAGGTGCTAACTCCGCTGGGTACAGAGGGTATGGCCCCCACACTTCAGGGCTACTGGGGTAAAGTGCAGGCACTGTGAGCTCATCTGCAAGAAAAGAAGAAGGAGAATTAGTGGCTGTGCCCCCTGTCACACCACGTGCCGGTCAACAGCACTGCTAGTCCTTCCTTCTCCCCCAAAGCAGGCAGGAGTGGGAGCCGAGATCGCCCCAGAGAAGCGCAGAGCGCTGATGCCACGAGCTGACCCACAAGCCAATGCGGACCTTGCCCACCGGGGAAAACGTGGGGCTCGGCCAGCGCCATAGGGCCGGGTGCTTCACCGGGCTGGGCTCGTCGCCTCCGAGCAGTTTAATTTCCCCGGGGATCTGGCGCCGGCGGGCAGGTGGAGAGCAGAGCGTGTAGCAGCAAGGGGAGGAGCCGGTGTCCACGCGAGGAACTTCCACTAGAGGTGACGGGCACGGCAGAGACAGCGCCGAGGTCTCCGCCACGGCCATGCGGCCGCGACTCGGGAGCTCCCCGGCACAGTGAAGCAGCGCCATGGGCTCATCCCATCCTGGCACACTGTCACCTGCCCCTGGGTGCAATCCAGTGCTGGCAGCCACCTCTGGGGGCCACTGGCCAGCACATGCCACCATGCTTGCCGCAGGAACCTGGCGTTCTCCATCACCACCCACCCCTCCCAGCATCCCTGCTCCCTCCAGCATACCACACCGGGGCCTGGCATCACCACAATCCCGTGATCTCTGCCTGCCATCAAATTGCCTGAATAAGCTGTTTTCCCAAGACACATGAAGATGGGGGCAACCCCTGGTGCCTGCCACTCCAAAACCCGCTGCCACGGTGGCAGGATGGAGGGGACCACACGGGGCTGCCAGGGTTGAGCCAGGGCTGGTACTTACAGGGCTCTCGGGCGATGAACTGAGGTACGGCGGTGGGGAGAGGCGTGCTGGGGTTGGGGGTGCCCACCAGCTTGCTCTTGGCCATCTTGGTGTTGGCCTTGGCAAACTCCAGCCGCAGCGTCTGAGGGATCTCGGGGTCGAAGCGGATGCCCTGGGGAGGGAAGGAGGTGCAGGGGGTGGGCAAGCGCCGCCATATGCCAGCCCCGCAGCAAAAATAACTCCCAATTGTTTTTTTTTTCCCAACTTCCAGCTTTGAAATGAGCTAATTTGCTGGGCCCTGAGAAGCTCCCATTCCTCCGGCATCTTTAGCATTGGCACCATATTTGGCAGCCAGCATCCTGCACGGCCAAGCTCTTATCCAAAGGGAGTAACAGAGCCAGAAAAAAAGTTTTACATTGAAAATGAAGATGAGGTAAAAAACCAAACCAAACCAACCAAACAAACAAAAACACAAAACACCAAACAGGGAGGAACTTAAGAACCAGCTCCACACGCTTCTTCCCATGACTGTTTTCAGGAGATCTCCACCAAGGTAGGAGGGAGCAGCTACAGGAAAGCAAAATTTGCTTTTTCTTTCCCAGCTATAGCTGGAATTTTTCCCACTAAAAAACCAGGAGAAGCTGGGAAATGTGTCTCTCACTGACTCGTATCCCTAGGGTTCAAGCCCTCCTGGGTGGTGCTGAGAGAGACAAGAGGGAGGATGCAGAGGAGAAGCAGCTGATGGGGATCGGCTGGAGGGATGGGGATGTGGTGGGGCCGGGCAGTGTGGGAGATGCACATGCCCAGGACGGAGGAATCTGGGGAGCACTGGAGGCCAGGTTAGAAACCTCCCAACCAAACGGAGTGGGCGGGCGCACTCACGTTCAGCGCGTTCTTGGCCGCCTCTGCCTCGGAGCGGCTGTCAAAGCTGACGAAGCCCACGGGCTGTGGAAGAAGGAGAAGAGGCACCATCAGTTGGGCTGGAGGGGAGCAGAGGGGGGACCCTTCTTCCCCAGGGAGGGTGAGAGCACAGCATGGGCTGCTCCTACCTGCTTGGAGGTGAGTTTGATGAGAGACCCTTCGTAGCCCTGCAAGAAAAGGAACAAAAATGGGTGTTTGGTGGAGATTGCCTGCAATTCATCTGCCCCTTGGAGAGGGAAACTTCCCACACCCATCATCCTGCAGTTTGGGGTGCACTGAATGGTGGGCACAGTGGGGAGCTCATCCAGGCTCCAGTACCAGTGCAGGGACTTGCTGCTGCTGGATTTTTGTCAGGATGTTGGATTCCTGATAATATTATTATTTGTGTTTGAAAAGAGCCAGTGTCTGAGCTGCAGGTCTAGCAGAGACTGGAGAGGTTTGCAGCCAATGCTCTTCTGCTGCTAAACGGGGTGCAAGTCAACCTGCAATTCAAACCTTGGTGCAATCAAAGCATCCAGTGCCTTTTTCCTACGGTTTATTGGGGGAAAAGGTGCAGAAACTTGTTTCTGTGAGTAAAACGATCAAATTAAGACTCCCTCGGGGGAAATGAGCAGGCTCCCAGATCCCACCACAGTTGGTGGGGCCATGGGGATGGGGCAGGGGCCAGCCCCATGCTTCCAGCCCCACTCACCCCTCCCCTGTCTGGTACCTTAAAGGGCCTGAAGAGCAGGTAAAGTTCCCGGGGCTTGATGTCCAGAGGCAACCCACTGACAAAGAGCGTCCTCACCTAGATAAGAAGAAAGGAAGTTCGTGGGGACCCTCTCTCATCCCTATCTTCAGGATACCCCATGCCTTAGGTAGTGGCACACCAGAGGGATGATGCCAGCCTGAGGGCAACATCATGGGTAGCCCAAAGCTTCAAACCAAACTTGGGCTTGTATTTTTGGGATGGGTGTCCCCATCCTTTGGGTTAGCATGGAGCAAGCTGCTGAGACACCATGGAAAGGTAACTGAGATCCATCCTCACCACACCAAGTCCTCACTGGGTCAAAAATGCTGCTGGCATCCCAGACACTTCCTACCCTGGCCTGGCAACCAGGAGCTTTCCTGGCATTCCCAACAGAGCCCTGACTCTGCAGACAATGCCTATTGTCTCTGTTTAATTGCAGCAGCTCATTAAGGACCAGGAGAAGTAAAACCCAACTTTTCATCCTGAAAGTGTGCCCCCATTTTGGAGGGGTGTGGTTTGAAGAAGCCTGTCCCTAATTTCTAAAATTCCCCTTTTACAGGGTTTTAACACTTTTTGAGTGGATTTAACGTTTGCCATAGTGCATTTTCCTCAAAGCCAGGGAGACTCACACAAACACAACTTCCACCGACTCCGAGGTGGGATGTGTGGCTCCCTGGGGATGGGCAAACCCCACCTGGGCAAGACAAGACCCATACCAGGGTGGGTTGCTTTACAACCAGCTTGTAACTGGGGGAGCAGTGTGTGGCAGGAGACCAACAGCTGGATCTGCTCTTGGTCCCCCCTCCTCATCCCTAAAATCTCATCCCAACACTTTGGTGACCAATGGCTGCGGGCTGACAACAGCCCCCCCCACCACACCTGGACCCTCCCACCCACACACCCTGCCCACAGCCCCTGTATTTAAGCTCAGACCTTGCAGGGAGCTGCTGACTTGGTGTCAGACCTGCTGTGTCCCTGGGGGTGGCTCTGACCCAGGCTGCCATCACCCACTCTTGCTGGGGCACCCAGGGATAAGGTGCCTGTGTCTGTGGGGTCCCTGCCTTGCTGTCACCCCCAGCTCCAGGCTTGCTTGTGAGCCAGCCCCAAACCTGCTGCTCCTGTAGCACCTTGCAGGAGGTAACCTGGAGGACTTTATGGCTGTAGCTTATTTTTTCAGGCACACAAAAGCTTTGTGAGAGGTAGTCTGGAGGGGCTAAACCAAGGTCACCCATGTTGGCTGCCAAGACGCCAGCTTTGGGATGAGGGGAGGGAAAAACCTTGATTATTTTTTAAATTTTTGTTTTATTTTTTGGCCAGGCACCCTGCCCACCCCATTCCCTTGGACAGAGACATGCTGAACAGCCAGGAACAGCCAGGCCAGGCCTATTCTTCTGCTGACATTTCTTCTTTCTCTTGCAGATAAGCTATCTACCCCATCTCCAAGCCTTGGGAGCAGCAAACATTCCCGCTTTGCCTAACAAAACCTCTGGCTGACCCGCATCTATTAAATAACAAAAGGGGCCGTTTGCACATAGCCCCTGTGCCCCCGGTCCTGGTGATACCATCACCACTGCTGGTCCCCATCATCACTGCTGGTACCCACCACTGGGTGCATGGGGGCTGCCAGAAACCCAGCCAGCCGTAAAAATACAGCCATCCCACGCTTGACCCCTTGGAAAGCAAGCCCTGCTCCGGCCAGAAAAAGATGATCAGGACCTTGCTCAGAGGGATGCTGAGAGCTGGATGGCATCAGCACAGGCATGTCCTCACTCTTT